TATGTTAAACTTATATTAAAGTTTTTCTTCATTACCCATTCAAGCCGTCTCCAACCATTATTAGTCTCAAAGTGGGTTCCTCGTCATCGAATCTAATGTTTTGGTTCCAATACTTCATAAAACATCACACACATGTTGGTTTGGGTTACAAAATGATTCGATTTTATATATTCAAAAGGAAAATAATTTAATTTTTGTGACACATTACTTTATAGTATAAAGTTGCTTACACTTTGCTGCATAGCCGAATTGAATATGTTGTCGGGGGGAGACCTAGGGAATATGCAAGGCACGTTTATGAAGGCACATTTTAAATTAAGACAAACTTAAGAAGCCACTAGTGTTTCTAGTAAAGCTAATATACATGGCTGTTATTATCATATTTTAGGAACACCTTAGTGAAGAAATCGTTTCAATAATAGGGAGACTAAAGAGGAAAAATAATTGAATGAAAACAAAACTAAGGAATTACACATTAATTAAGCATATAAATTTTAAGCCCCAAGTTATACACAATTTTCTACTTAATTGGCATATAAATATATATATATTTACTGCGATACGCATGTCTTTCGTATTAGATTCACTGCAGACTTTCAATGTAGGAAATGTGAGAGACGAAGTAATCGTTTAAAGCAATATCTGACACGCATGTATATAATTAGATTTTAATGAAAATTGAAAATATTTAGTCAGTAAAGTTTTAAGATTAAGATGCAAAGAAAAATCGCGTTATCATTCAAATCATGAAAAAAAAAACAGTTTAAATTGCTTTATGTATTTCAAAGCTATTTCTGGAATGCTAAAGTGAAAAATAAGTTATTGTTAACTGCTTTCTTTATACAAGCCTTACATTCCATCAACTAAAACATCCGGCTTCTGTAGAAATGGCAAACTGAGAAAACCCCTGATTTTCTTGAAGTTAAAGCTTCCTTTATTCTGTATTGGAAATCAATTCATCTATTAAGTCAGACCATTCGCTTGCTCATCTACTGACAGTACCTAACATGATTAGCTTTTTCGCCACCCTTGTTGTAGGCCTACTCTCACTAGCAATGAACAATCCTATCTGCCATATGCGGGATTACACGGCAACCAGTAATTAACGGCATGATTGACTCTGTTAATAAATAACTAGTATCCTTGTCATGAATAACCTTTAATTTATTTTAAATAACTACGATTAACTTTGAAACAGAAACCAAAATAAATATTTTGAGTACCTACTTTAGCAAATATTACATAAAACTAAAATTTATCTGAGAATACTATTCGTTCTTTAAATAATTGAATCATACGTGTATATATATTATTGAAACAATGAATATTATGTTGTAATAGGTATTTACAATAACTACATGTTAGAATTTCTTAAAATAAGGTGCACATCAATGAGAACACAGAAGGTAATCAAATATTTGTGCATGCATAGTTAACTTAACGAAATACCTATTAGTCAACCTTATCAACAGTGGCATGACATGGCCTGGTGATTAGGGCATTCGACTTAAAATCTTCAGGCAGCGAAGTCGAAACCCGTCGTCGAAAATACTTGCCCTTTCAGCAGTTGGGAAATTATAATGTGACGGTCAATCTCGTTGGTAAAGTAGAACTAGCCGTAAGTCTTTTATATAATATCCACTCTTTTTTTTAAATTGGTCAGGTTAGAAGTTCTTGGTCGGAAGACTAGTGAAGCCGAAGCAGCATGACGGTATGATTTTACTAAATTTTATTAGTTATTCTTGACATGTGTGAAACGTTTCTTTGTACCAAATGTCAATTTCAATCGAGGCAGTATGTAACATTTATGTTGCACTACAGATGTGTGCTTATGCATGAACAGAGAGAGAGAGAGAGGTTCGTGATGTTTGTTCAAAAACAGTATTCTAATATATTAATTTTTAAACATAACAAAAACATAAATATTTCCAAGATATCCAGGATAAATGGAAATAGCTGAATTGAAATAATATATTTTTTTTTATTCTTTGCGGTATATCAATGACGATTATGAGTTTCAGAAATAAAAAATCCCCAAAATCACTATGGGCCAAATATTGATTTAAAAAAACAAAAAGTTTACAAATTTTGTTTCGAATTTATAGGAAAGACACACGTTATCAGAAATAGTACTGCAATAATTTACTTATGAATTTAATAACGTGTTACGTCACCACCTACCTCAAATTACAGTTAATGTACAATTATTTTCAGAACTTAGGTATTAGACCAAATAAAATGAGCTTTAAGAGAGCGTTTTAAAAGAGTAAACAAGTACTGAAGAGGCATGCATTTATTTATTAAATGCTCTAAATAGTCTTTTGATCTTTGATGATGTATTTTCTATGAAGAACTTAGCAGGGCCTCATCTGACTTCCACTTATCAGTCTATTTCTTTTGAGAATTTGTTATGTAATTATAGTCCATATAACTTTCTATATTTGGTAACTCGTTAAAAATGTAATGTATCTTTCACTAACACTGCTTTTCAATGTATGGACTTTGTAGTCAGATTCTATAATATTTGACACAAGAATGGTTGTAATTCTCAAAATCTACTATTTACAGGTGCAGAATAATACTTCCCACTAATTGGTCTTGGAACGTTATTGTAGAAGTCATAGTAGTAACCAAAGATGTCAATGGAGAGAGAGCATGAATTTGCTAATTAAGAGAGAACATTTTCCTGTCGAGAAAAGAACATTTGGTCTTATTATTGAGGGAATCTCAATCTTTAACTGCAATCCCTTTTTTTGACAACTATGCAAAATGTTAATTTGAATTTACAAGATGAAAAACATTGACAGAAACTTCTGTCTGTACTATCTTTAGTCGGCATTGCAATCAGGAAGTGAATAATATGAGAATAACACTGATTTTAAAATGAATATTGATTGTTTATTTCACAGATATTAAAATATTCCGATTTGGTAGAAATACAATAACATAAAATATGCATTGGATTGATTTTATGATTTTGCAATACAGTAGTTGTTATAATATAAATCCTTAAATTCTGAATTTCTAGCATGGTTAGATTAGTACGAGTCATTCGAATTTCCTAAATGTGTCTAGTGTGTTAATGTTAGCATTTCTACTGAAAGTTGTTGAAATGTTCATTGGTGAATTGAAATCAAAGAGTTTAAGTAATGTTATTTCTACTCACAATACGCATTAGGACTACATTGTATGAATTAGTACATATAAGATACCATAATCATAGCCAATGTTTGGCATTTTATTAACTTTATAAATGGATATGGTTTACTAGATATACATGGTTTATGGTATAATGTTTGAATATAATGGTGACGGAACATATATTGTAATTTGCCCCCCCCCCCAGTGGTACAACGGCATGTCTGCGGACTTACAACGCTAGAAACCGGGTTTCGATACCCGTGATGGGCTGAGCACAGATAATCCATTGTGTAGCTTTGTGCTTAATTACAAATAAACATTGTAATTTTTAATAGTTTGTATAAATATTTCGCATCATTCCTACCTTACATTGCTTTTATCGTTCAAAATACACCGGCATTTTCCAACTTTAAGTGTTAATTTGATTATTAACTTGATAGGTTGACTGTGATGTAATAGACACCATAACTTAAAATAATATAATAAGTTTAGAGATAAGAGTTTTATGAATAAAAAATCGTGTGTTTTTAATAAAGCATATGATAGTAAACACTCATTATGCAACGTTAGATAGGTCTTGTTTTGTTTTATAATAAGGCATGTGATAGTAAACACTCATTATGTAACAAAGTAATATTGACAAAGTAGTAACATTATATGGGTCTTGTTTTTTTTTAAATAAAGTATGTGATAATAACACTCACTATGTAACGAAGTAATACTGACAAAGTAGTAACGTGAGATAAGTCTTGTTTTTTTTTTGATAAGCCATGTGATAGTAAACAGTCAGTATGTAACAAAGTAGTAACGTTAGATAAGTATTGTTTTTTTATGAGGCATGTGATAGTAAACACTCACTATGTAACAAAGTAATACTGACAAAATAGTAACGTTAGATAAGTCTTGTTTTTTTATGAGGCATGTGATAGTAAACAGTCACTATGTAGCAAAGTAATATTGACAAAATAGTAACGTTACATTTACTAATTAGAACGGTTAAGATGACCAGTTAGTTTAATTGACGAAATAGTTACGTCAAAGGGGGCATGATCAAATTGACTAAATGCACAGTCGTCAATCTGTCAAATTATTTCTTTCATAGTTTTTAATTGAGTCTTTGAAAATCGTTGTAAATGTAAATAGCCTATTATCTTTAAAAATAATAACTAAATAAAAGTGAACATTTTATGTATATATATATATACTTATTTGTTTCTAGGAAATTTCAAAACTTTAAGTTATTTCAAGAGGATGCAAGTATAAAGTATTAATACATGAATACACTATTGAAAACTGAAAGTCTACAACACAAGTAGCACGTTTTAATGAAAAGATAATGACTTTTTCTGCATGAACGAATTTCTTAGCTGTGCAACTGTATTTGACTACTAAATTCTCTTTGTTTGTATTTTTCTACTTATAATACTTCCATAATTGACTTTAATTCTGCATGAGATGCGTTATATATAATACATAATAAACAAAACTTACCTCTGGTGTTACAGCTGTAAATAGTTTCAAAGTCTTTCCAGCGAAACTTGAATATGATTTTGATTCATACGTTTGCAATGAAATTCTTTGATGAATTCCTAAAAGAATATATACAAAACAAAAATATTTAACAAGTGTGGATATCTGTGTGCATATAACACACTGCAGTCACTGTATTAATATTATTTCCTTTATGGCCAACCTATGGTAGTGGGTGTAAATCGCTGGAGAAAGATATCCACATATATTTACCCTATAAATTTAGTGCAAAAGTATCTCAACTTAAGGCTTTACTTAAAAAAAAACAGCTTCACTGAATAAAATATGGCTTTCATTGTATCCACAAGGAACATTCGCTCACCTTGTTTTTAAGTAAGTCTCAATATTTGCTTACAAATTGTAAATTAATGATCACAAGCTTTCAGATTATGAGAAGTTGAGAAGAGATATATTGTAACTTACTGTAACACATAGATTAAAATATCTTACAAGTACTAGTAACAACATGATCAACTATACTCTTATTCTTATGTAAGAAAAAGTAATGTAAACATCTCGCTGAGTTACAAGATTTTTCTACAGGCAAATAGCCGTTAAAGAACTGTGTTAGTAAAATGCTGGAAAAATATCAAAATCTCAATACTTGTGGTATGTAATAGAAAATTTATAACCAGGGTGAAGGTTTGCCATTACGAAGAGTCGAATCATAGGTCTTTTCAGGTATGATATTCCTTACAGAAGGCGCAGCACATACAGTACGGGTTCACAGCAGTACTATTTCCAGTCATTTAAGTTACTTTCATAACGCAGCGTCAGTGGACTTTATCACATTCGATTTGCTGTAATGAGTTTTGAGAGTACACACGTTCTAGAAAGATTTTAGAAAAACAAACAAACAAAAAAAACAGAAAACCAGAAGACGTGATGGTGTGTAGATTTTATCATATTTTTCGTTCCAACAAGAATTATAAAAAAAAAAAATGTTATATAACAATACACAAAACAATACCAAAAATAACGCTATAAGATAAACCTTTCATTTACCTTCGTTATTATTAGGTCGTCAAGAAATGAATGAAAAAAAAACCCGAACAACTTATATATCAAAACAAAACTTAAATGAAATAATTTCGATTCTTATCGATGATGCTTTACCATCATACAATCAGGTTGTTTATGCCCTGATTAAAGAAATCACTTGGTCTTGAAGCAAAAAACATGTCGATGTCCTCTTTAACATCTTCCACATTTGCATATTATTTCTCATTAAGATGGTGTTGCAGCGAACGAAAAAGATGGTTATCTGATGGTGCCGTATCTGGAGAATATGGTAGGTGGGGAAAAACTTCCCAACCAAACCCCATAATCTTGTGTTTCGTCAAACGTGCCACAAGTGGATGTGCATTGTCGTGGAGAAAAACACTTTTTCTATTGACGAGTGAAGGGCGTTTCTGATGAAGGGCTTGATTTAAACGTTCCACTTCTTGACTATAGATCTCTGCATTGACA